ATCCGAGGTCACAGAACAAGTTAACCTACAAAAAAGAGGTTAGGCTTTTTCACAGCAGACATGAAAGACGACAAGAGCGATGAATGAAACAAAAAGAAGAACACAAGGAGCACGACTAACACACGTACAGGCAACGCGCCCATCATCAAGACCGGGGCGATCTTTAAGACACCAACGGTGCAACCGACGATTTTCACTGCAGGTCTCAGCAAGGCAAAGAAAGACAAAGATAAGGAGCATGAAAAAAGCCTGGAGGATGAGCCACAACCACGCTGGGTGGAGAGACTAGAGAGAAGCATTAAAGACAGATTGGAGCAGTTGGAAAGGGCGACGACGCAAAAACTAGATGACACATTAGAAGGTATCAGAGCAGAATGGAGGAAGAAGGAAGGAGCATGGGAGAAAGAGAAGGAAGAGTGGAAGGCAGAAAAAAAGGAGTTGGTGAAAAGAATCAGGATTTTGGAGATAGAGAGTGACAAGCAAAAGAGAGAGAGAGAGAGAGAGAGAGAGAGAGAGAGAGAGAGAGAGAGAGCGAGAGAGAGAGAGAAGAGGTTGAATGTCATTATCAAGGGACAGCAGTTTAAAGAAAGGAATCTAAAAGAAGAGGTGGGTGGCTTCTTAGATCTCATAGCAAGGCGCAGGGTGTTAGTCCGAACAGCGCTTATACTCAGGGGTAGAAAAGGAGAGAAGACAGGAGACAGAGTCCTAGTAAAGCTAAACAGCATGGAAAACAAAATCGAAATCATGAAAAACAAGATGAATCTGGACAAAGGAGCGTACGCAGATAATGATCTAACAGAAAGAGAGAGAGAGAGAGAGAGAGAGAGATTCAGAAACACATAAGAGATGTAGAAAGGGAGAAGAGAGATGAAGGCCTCAAGACGAGGGTCGGATGCATAAAATGCTGTTTAGGAGACAAGTAGTTCAGATGGGATGAAGAATCCAGTTGTCTGACAGTAGAAGAAAGAGAGACAGAGAAGAGAACATAGAACATAGGAGAAGAGGGAGAAGAAGGAAGGGTCAGAGTGTGTTTCTGGAATATGGCCGGCTTAGCAAATAAAGACAATGATTTTTGGAGGTATATAGAGGAGTTTGACGTGGTGGGGCTAACAGAAACTTGAACAGAAGCAAAGGAGTGGGGCGAACTGAAGAGCAAGCTGAGCAGGAACTTTAAATAATGACATGCAGAAGCGATCAGAGAGCATAAGAAAAGGAGGGCAAGCGGCGGCATGTTATACGGGGTAAGAAAAATGAGTCTGGTGGAAAGAGAGATCTGTGTGTGCGTAGGAAGTAAAGTAATAAGTTCGTCAGGAACAGTAGGCAGTGAAAAGTGGAAAGTAATATTGATGTACAGTCAGGGAGTGAAAGAATCGATGAGAACACTAGAAAAGGATGAATGGGAACCAGGACAGAGGCTTCTGATCAGTGGTGACTGAAATGCGAGGACAGGCAGTCTGGGGGACCCACTGGATTTGGAAGGTGAGACAATAATCCGAAAAGCAAAAGACAGAGTAATGAATAATGAAGAAATTACCCTAGTAAATAAGTTGAAAGAGAGAGGATGGGCAATAATGAATAGGTCAGAAGAAGATACCAAGGAATACACATGTATAGGGGAGAGTGGTCGCAGCACGATCGACGACATTATAACTAATTCAGAGGGAGGTGAGAAACTTGATAATTTCTTAATAGGGATAAGAGCCAACTCTGATCACCTTCCACTCGTCGCAGAAGTAAAGACAGGTCAGTCAATGGGAGAAGAGGCAAATGAGGGGGACTTGACGTTAGGTAGGGTTGTAAAGAAGAGGATATGGAACGAAGAGCTTACAGAGACCTATCACAGGAAGTGTGAAAATTGGAAGGCACAAGAAAGTAGCAATGACAAAAGGATGCACGAAATATTGAACAAGGTCGAACAAGCCATACCCAAAGTAGAGAAGGTGGTAAAACAGGTGGCGTTAGGGAAAAGACCATGGCATTACAAAGAGTGGGACCAGCGAAAGAGAATGTGGAGAAAAACCTTGAGCGACTGGAGAAAAAAATGAGCTGAACCAATAAGAATACAGGATAAGAAATATGAAATATAGATGGTGCGCAGAAAACAAAGAAACATACAAGGCAGAAGAGTTGAGCAAGATCAAATAAATAAAGATAAAAAAGGAAGCATGACAGCACATAAATAAATACAGAAAAAAGAGACAGGAGGTGTGCAAAAAGACCGATCGAAACACTTAGAAGGACCACTTTGCAAAAAGGTTGAAGGGGAAAGAGAGAAGAACGATAGAGAAACTAGCAGATGATGGATAAGCAGGAATTGGAGGACCCACGACACAGGAATCTTTTACGAGGGAAGAGGTTATCAAGACGATAAGAAATCTGAAGAGCAGACAGGCACCAAGTAAAGACGAGGTAGAAAATGAGGTGTGGATTAAGATTCCAGAGACAACAGGGAAGGCTTTTTTTCAGTTATTACAAAAAATATGGAATAAAGGAAACATACCGGCACGACGAAAGACAGGCCTCATATTCCTGATATTTAAGAAAGGAGAGATAGAGTAGAAAACTACAGAGGGATCACGCTGCTAGACACATCCTACAAAATATACGCAGGGCTGCTCAATGAAAGGTGGATAAAAGAAGTAGATCATAAGCTGCAGGAGAATCAGTTTGGCTTTAGAAAAGGAAGAGGAGTGACAGATGCTATTTACATACTCAACCACGCAGCAGACGTGAGACTAAGCAAGAAAAGAGGCAAAATGTACGCCTGCTTTGCAGACTTAAAAGAAGCGTTTGATAGCCTAAACAGGAGCAAATTAAAAGAAAGTCTAGAAAGATTAAGCAACAACAAGGTGCTAAACAAGAGAGTTCTGAAAATATATTAAGAAACATGCTGCAAAGTTAAAGTGGGAAACGAAATCTCAGAAGAGTTCTGGACAGTAAAGGGTGTTGGACAAGGATGCCCAATGAGCCCAACGCTGTTTAATATATATATATACAGCAGATCTAGAAGAGTTTTTAGAAGACAGAAGAGTAGGAGGTATCGTTATAGGTAAGAAAAAGGTCAGAACAATAATATATACAGACGACATAGTGCTTCTAGCAGAAGACGAGGAGAGCATAAGAGATATGCTGAAGGAGTTCAGAAAATACACAACGATAAGGATCTAACAGTAAGCATCAGAAAGACAAAAATAATTGTTTGAGAAATCCAAGAGAAAAGCAAGCAGAGTATGGAAGTGGAATGATGAGCAGATAGAGAAAGTAGGGGAAATTAAATACTTGGGCAATGTCTTACTAAAGAATGGCAAGGCTGTCAAACATCTGAGAGAGAGAAAGAAAAATGCAATGGTAGCTATCAAAAAAACCTGGAGCATTGGAGAGAGAATTTTTTGAGAAGACCTAGAAAGAAGATACAGGATGTACGATGCATTTGTCGAGAGTATAGAAGTCTTTAGAGCAGAGATGTGGGGCTACAATGATGAAGACGGAATGGAGGGGTCAAGAAAGAAATGTGCAAATTGGATTTGAAGGCTGGACAGAAACATTCCTAACTACATATTACAGGAGGAGACTCTTTTAAGCATTTGATGTCATACACTCCGATTTAAGTCCACTAACTCCTTCTCACTTTTTAATGTTCCCGGGAGGGTGGAGAGAGGGAGTAAGAGCCAGTCATGCTGCACTGCGTCTCTTCTCCCTCCTATGTAAGAAAGTTAATGTACAGGATGGTGTCCGGGAGGCAGTGCTCCTGCACTGTTGTTGCGCCAGATCGTGTGGACGAAGGAGTTGACGAGAACTTTTGGGAATTGTAGTGTACGCGGGTAAATAAAAGGGCGACTTCCTTTTATTGAATCAGCTTTAATTTTCGTTCGGAAATAAACACTCGCGTACATTAACTTTCTTACATAGGAGGGAGAAGAGACGCAGTGCAGCGTGACTGGCTCTTACTCCCTCTTGTGATGCAGAGCAGTTGCTGACTAACTTGGCGGAGCGATGTTAAGCCGGGGAGAGCACGGAGCTCAGTCATACCGTCTCTTTCTAGCGCGGCGCATGCGCTTTTCACTCAGAGCACACGCGTGGGATACTCGGCTGAAAACACTTTTGCCACACATACACGCACACAAATAACATCAAGCATTTGATGTTATACACGGAGGGATCGTCTGTCAAGGGTGCCAAAGGCCTCGAGTTAAGGCATGACTCGATTCTACATAACAACGTGGAAAATTCGACGAAGGTAAGGACTTGGTTTCCGATGACTCTCTTAAGGTGGAATTTCGTCGATTTGACTGCAGCCTCCCATAAACCACCAAAACGGGGGGCTGAAGGGGGGTTGAAGTGCCATTGCGTTCCAAGGGTGCAGAGAGCATCAGCAAAGGAGACGTTTTTATGTCGATCCATCAACATTTTGCTCATCTCTCGATCAGCCCCCACAAAGTTAGTGCCTCGATTACTGTAGAGATCGGAGGACTGGCCACGACGAGACGTGAAACGTAGGAAGGCCGCTATGAAAGAGTCGGCAGTGTAGTCCTCGACGACCTCCAGATGTACACCTCTCGTGACCATACAAATAAAGACCGCAACGTAGCCCTTAAGCGTGCCTCTCCCGCGGTGCTTTGCTAAACGAACAGGAAAAGGACCGGCGTAATTCACACCAGTTCTTAGAAATGCTGGTGAGGGAGTTACTCTTGCAGCTGGCAGATCTGCCATCAACTGCGTTTGTGGCTGTGCAGCATACCGGCGACAGGTCAATCAGTGAGACAGCACAGAACTTACAATCTGACGACCATTTAGTACCCAGTACTTTCAACGAAGAGCGGTCAAAGTTATTTGGGTACACCGTGAAGAGTAAGAAGATGATAGCGTTTAACAAGTAACAGGGTGAGAGAATCTCTACCAAACAAGATTAGTGGGTGTTTCTCGTTAGAGTCGAGCAAAGCGTTACTTAGTCTACCTCCAACTCGTAACAATCCATCAGAGAGAAAAGGAGCGAGCTTACGCTAACGGCTCGAGGCAGGAAGATGCTCCTGTTGACTAATGGGCAGATTAGCGTTGCGTTTCAAGACGGCAATGTCCTGAGCAAAATGACGCTGTTGATGATCAAAGATCAAAAGCAGAGACGCCGATTCTAACTCAATGGTAGTCAAGCTGGAATAAATGTATCGTGCAAAAGCTTCACGTTTGATGAAACTCAGGTCAGTGGACTGTATAGATGTAGTTAAGGATGACTGCCTCAGTCTACCAAGACATCGATAAGCGAAACGCAGGACGTAAGCCATGACCCGTGTTAACCTGAACCAATGAGAGCAACGGCTAAGGAGCGAGGTAACGAAGGAGTCTGGCTCCTTTTTCGAACAACTTGCTACGAGGTTGAATGAGGGAGACGGCTCGATGACTTCAAGTTTCAGGTCAGGGTACTGGGGATCAGTCTCATGCAACACGTCTGGGCCATGAAACCACAACTGCTTGGCAATTAGCTGACTAGGGAGAATGCCTCTAGAAGCCAGATCAGCTGGGTTCTGTTTTGAGGAGATGTGATGCCATTTAACGCTCGGCATCAAGTGGTGGATGTCTGAACATCTGTTGGCGACGAAGACCGGAGCGTTAAGCCAGTGGAGGACATTAAGAGAATCCGTCTTCAGGTGGATGGGAACTCCATCACAAGGACAGCAGTCAGTAAAGTGTCTTACGACTTTAGCCAGTAGATGTGCACCGCACAACTCAAGCCGAGGAATGCTCAGCACCTTAAGAGGAGCAACTCGGGTCTTGGCTATTTGAAGCGACACGTGAACAACATTTTCTACAACCACGCGGGTGTAGACGACAGCAGCGTAGGCTGACTTAGACGCATCAGCGAATCCATGGATCTCTAACCGGATACTAGGGGAATAAAAGTTCCAACGGGGAATCCTCACTTGATTGAGTTGAGGAATCTCACTCAACCACCTGACCCAAGGTTCAACAACTGAGTCTGGAAGGGGCGTGTCCCACGAAATTTTAAGCAACCACAGTGATTGTAGCAACATCTTTGGAACTATAATCACTAATGAGAACCAGCCCAAAGGATCGAAGAGCCGGGCAGTCTGGGCGAACAAGGTTCTCTTGGTCCAGAGATTAGGAAACTCATCAACCGTGAATTTGAAAGCAAATTCATCAGTCTGGAGGTCCCAAGACAATCCAAGGACTGAAATGGCTTCTGGATTTTCTTGCAAAGTCTTTGGCTGGTCGACTCGATGGTCAAGAGGGACGCAAGCCAAAGCCTGCGGCGAGTTAGAGGACCATTTGCGAAGAGGAAATCCACCTAACCGTGCCAGTTCCGTGAGTTCCTCACATTTTATTGAGGCTTCCTCCACCGAATGACCACCTGACAAACAGTCATCTACATAAAACTCCTCGCGAAGAATCCTGGAAGCTCTAGGATGCGATTAAGCATGCTCAGAGGCAAGTTGGCGTAAGACACGAGTCGCCAGGAACGGGGAACACGCGAGACCATAAGTGACGGTAGTAAGGAAGTAGGTTTTGATCGGAGAAGAGACGTCAGGTACCTTAGGATCGCTTGAAAAGTTTGATCGTCTGGATGAACTGGAATCTGCCGGAACATCTTTTCTACGTCGGTGGTAAAGACAAACTTATAAAGACGCCACCTGAGAATCAGCTCGAAAAGAGTTAACAGGAGATTTGGACCTGTGTGGAGTAAGGAGTTCTAAGACAGACCACCTCTGTTCCTAGCAGAGCCATTAAAGACAACTCGCAGCTTAGGAGTTGGCGTATTGGTCTTCAAAACTCCATGATGAGGAAGAAAACACTTCGCTAGGCTCGAATTCGATACTTCGCGCATGTGACCAAGAGCCAGGTACTCAGCCATAAAGGTCTTGTGTGACTCGAACAGGTGAGGGTTATTCCTAAACGTTTTTTCTTGTTGGCGAAACATGGAGAGCACCGTGTTATAAGAGCTTTCCCGAAGGGAAAGAGCGTCAGCGACTTGACCTTTAAACGGAAGTCTGACCACAAATCGACCGTCCGAGGATCGCGAGTGCGTGTGAAAAAAATGTCCTCGCAATGAAGATCCTCTCCCTTGAGCTCTGGTATGAAAAGGGGTTCTTCGACTAACCAAAATCGTTGCACTATTTCAATTAGATCAAGGTCTTTAGAGATGTGCATTACGGTAACCTCTTCGGGTCGGGCAGTGATCATGTGATTTTCCCGCTTCGCAGAAGGGACATTTTCCGGTGGATGGGGCACAGGTCTGGACAGTAGCCATCCGATGCTGGATGCGGAGGCTATAGGTTGATTTGCAGGGCCCCATCGAATTCAAATGACATCAAGCATTTGATGTCATACATGTAACCTTGCGAAAAAATCACTTGAAACTCCATTTCTATGATCTGTAGAAATCTTCTAATTGTTGTTAGTATGAAAGATTACTTTCAGATAAACCTATGAAATTTTTAAATAGATCCACAGGTTTTTTTTTTTTAATAACGCAACAAAAAAAGTGTCAAGTATGCGTAAAAGCGTGTATCTGAGTACATCAATGTAAAAAAAATAATTGCCAGAGTTTGCTGCATATATTTGCTATCCTCTCACCTCTCTGAACTTTTTCCCCGCTTACTATGTGATGACCGTATTTGAGATACATATCACCTCAATCCCAAAAAAAAAATTATGAAAGAATAAAATACAATAAAAATTAATTTTTTTGTTTATGCAGTACAAAAATTTTTTTTAAATACTGAAATTGCATTTCAAATATTTTGTTTTAAAAACTTGACTAAATACATTTGTATTTAATAAGGTACTCAAAATAATATAGTCAAACGTAAAATAATTTTTTAACGAGATTGAACTTAAAACATAATAGTGTAGGACAGCATGCTGTTAAAGGCTCATAACAGGCTAAGCAGGCCGGTTCACGGTGAAAGGTTAGAATCGATAGGTAAACTTTATCAATTTACTCATTTCCTAAGTGACTGACCGATTCTTATTTGAAGATCTTAAATTAGGTCCTAAATTTAAAGATCTATTTTATTTTATTATCTATTAATGTTTATTATCTATTATCTTAGCGTGTGTCCATACATACATGATTGAAATCATAGTTTGAAACCAGGGAGAGGAATAAAACTAGGAATAAAAATGGGAAAGGGTGTAGAGGAATAATACTACACATTCACCAGGAGGGTATCTTGTGGGTGCAAAAATCACTCGGGAACGACTCATACTAAAACGGTCCCAAAACGCTTTGATTTTATACATTCGTAACTAAAATACAACATTTAAAAATACATTTTTAAATACAATTGTATTTTAACAAAGTATTTAAAAAAAGTAAAGAAAATATAAATGTATTCAAGCAAATTATTTCAAATACTTAATCAAATAGAATTGTACTTGAAACAATATATTTCAAATACAAATGCATTTCATATAATTTATTTGAAATATAGTCTCGTAAATACTTTCTGTTCAAATATTGTATCTAATATTTTCTATACTTTTTACAAATGAATTGAAAATACAAATGTATTGACTATTTTTAATTAAAATAAAATATTTTAAATACTATTGTGACGTACAGTATCTAGAACCTTTGTAAGT